GGGCTTTGTGAAGGGCTGGGAGGGGAGGAGCGAGGCGGCTGACATCTTTATGAATGGCGCAGAGAATCCTGGAGCAGGTGCCTGGTGGCAGCATCCTGGACCGCTGTCCCCAGCGCCCAGCCAGCCGCCCGCCACTCTCCATTCACGAGGCCTGGCCCACACACTCCAGTCTGGTCCATCAGACGGGGCCCTTTGTCCCGGCCCATGTGGGGGGCGGAGGGGTGGCTGCTTCTGCAGCATCCACTGGCAAAGGTGAGGTGGGGGGTGGGAGACGGAAGGGCCCACCCACCGGGAAACGTGTCCCTGCCATGAAATGGGGGAGGTTCGGGATGGGTGGGGCAAACGAAAGAGGACAGGCCTCTTAGAGCCAAGGGAGATGGAGCTGGCGGTGGCACCCGTGGCCTCAGCTTTGGGAGTTAGAGGCAAGCCTGCTAAGAGACCACTCTCCACCCAAAGGTCACGGCTGACACGGGCTTCCTGCCCACAGCTCCAAGCATGCAGCCCCCCAGCCCAGCCCCCCCTGTCACTCAAGGCCCCCGAAATGTATGCACGGGCACACTCACAGGCAGCGTTCCCATGCTCAACACTGACTGCTTGCCACCCTCCCAACCTCCGCAAGAAAGCAGACTGGATGCTGAAAGCCTGCCAAAGTATGGCTGCCTTCCAGCACCAAAAATACCTCCCGCGATCCGAGGGGCTACTGGACTGGCATCTATTTGTGGGGCTGGAGCTGCTACTGTGACAGAGAGGACTTCCCCTGGGGATGGGCTGGTTGCCCATTTGGGCCTATTCTCCCCCAAAGTCTCAGGCTGGCTTGCAAAGGCCTGAGGAGGCCTGCTCAGCCAGACCTGCCTCTGCAGGAGCAACGCTTCTTTCTCCCAGGGAAAGTTCGGCTCCACTCCGGAGTGTGCCTTTCCCCTGTTCTCTCCCACTCCTCTGATCCTCTTCCCCAAGCCACCCATCTTGGGACCAGCAAAGAAGAGGCCTGGGGCCTGGCATGGCAATGCAGCAGGCACCGGTGATTCTGCAGGACTGAGGAGCCAGGAGCACTGTGACCGGTAGAGGTGGGTGGTTGTGGGGAGGAAAACCCTGCTGAGCTTGCTACAATTTTCCAAAGATGAGGATCTGGCATAAGGCAAACATCTGCCCACCCATCCCTCTATTCATTTGATAGATATTTATGAAACACCCACCACTTGCCCAGAGCTGTGCTGGGCTGTGACCATTGCTCCTGATGGACATGAGGAGGGCCTGCAAGGGGCTGGCAGAGGCTTGACGAGTTCCCAGGGGCCATGAGTTTCATATCAGCTGAACAGGATGAGAAAGAGGACATCAAAGCCCAGACAGACACCAGGAAACTCAGGTCCCAGAAAGATGTAGGCGGGTCTGAGGACATGGAACCTGTTAGCGTGATTATCAGCATAATTTCTCTTAAACAAATATGTGTGGAAGAAATAATCATGTACTATATACCATTCCATTTAAGAAATTTAACAAAGTCACTCTTAATAAATAATGTTTGTGGAATGAATGAATGAATGGATGCCCAGTGATCAAAAGGATATGATTACTGGAGCACCTTTGAAGATCAAAGACTCATATGTATTGCCATTGCCTCAGAGGCTGTTATATCTAAATATACAGCATGAATCCGAGTTGTTCTTTTTTATTCCCAAGATACATTGTTGTAATAATGTACTTAACTAATAAGATCTATATTTGTTTTAGCCTATTAGGACTAAAAATATGAACAAATCTTTCCATTTTAATGATACTATTAAAATCTTCTAACATTTCTATATATTTCTATTTTAGCTCCCACAACTCTCTGAAGATTGGAAGTAGGAATTCCCATTTTACAGATGGACAAACCAAGGCCCAGAGAAGTTAAGTGTACTTAACAGGTGCCTCCCAGTAGACCTGGTAGGGTTCCTGCCTTTGTTGTGCTGACCACAGGCATTCCCATAAAGTCACAGGACTCAGACCTCAGGCTATGTTCCATAGCAATGTGCAAACTGGGTGACATCGTGTCATGCTGCCTACAACAGGTTTTCCTGCCTATCTTCTCTCTCTCCCTCCCTCTCTTCACTATTTATTTGAAAGGGAGAGGGGAGCCTGGGATGAAGGATGCAGTGAGTGGAGAAGCTTGTTTCATTTTACCTTCCTTACTCTTCCTTCTAGGGTTGATTTCTGGACCACAGGAGGTAGGATTGGAAAGTTATTTAAATTGCTATCAAAATCAAAATCGTTCCAAGACGTAATTAAATTGAGGCATAAGGAGATCAAACCAGTCCATCCTACAGGAAGTCAACCCTGAATATTCATTGGAAGGACTGATGCTGAAACTGAAGCTCCAATACTTTGATCACCTGATGCAAAAAGCCGACTCATTAGAAAAGTCCCTGATGCTAGGAAATATTGAAGGCAGGACAAGGGGACAACAGAGGATGAGATGGTCGGATGGCATCACCAACTCAATGGACAGGAGTTTAAGCAAGCTCTGGGAGATGGTGAAGGACAGGGAAGCCTGGCATGCTGCATGCAGTCCATGGGGTTGAAAAGAGCTGGACATGACCGGACGACTGAACAACAACAACAAAAGAGATGCAACCTCTTCTAGAGTCACACAGCACTTGGTTGGAGAACCAGAAAGTCCTAATTTTCAGCTTCAAGCTTTATCAGCTAGGTATTTCCAAGCCTACCACTGCCTGTCCTGGGTTGAGCCAACCAGACCCATGCTCCATGTACCAAACAAATAAAAGAAATTTTCCAAAATCTTCTAGCATCTTCTTCAAATCATATTCCTTAATAAATTGTGGTTTATATTCAGTCTAACCAAAGTTGAGACAGTAGGCAAGGCTGTCTGGATGGAGAGACAAGATCAACTTATAAAGAGAAATAAATGATAATATAGAGTAACTTATGATAATTGCCTGGAGGACTGCCAACAATAAATACTAAAGAAGTTCAAAGAAAAGATCAGGTATGGATCAGGAAGACAGCTTAGACAAATTCTTTGTGGCTGCACAGGACACTACAAAGAATAACCAGTGAAAGTCACAAGAAGGCAAATTTCAGCTACCTTGAGGAAAGAACTTTTGAGAAATGAGCTAATTTCTGTGGATGAAGTAAATCTTACATTCCCCCCACAATACTTCACTTAATTCAAGGGGTGATTGCACAAGATAACAGGTGAGTCTACATTTATTTCTCCTTTTTTTTTCTGTAAGGCCCCTGCTGCCCTGAGAATTACTTGCGATTCCTTTTAGGGTTTCTTGTGATTTTTTTTTTTTTTTCCTCTTTTCTTTATACCACTGAGGCCTGTGGCCACGAGAGGGCAGTAGACGGAGCTTATCGGAATACTTGGACGTATTGAGTAAACTCGCGTTTGCTCTGATCGCCAACAGGGACTAGGCAGATTCTGCGAAGTCGCCCGGGTCCAGCTCGCAGGCGTTTCGCAAAGCCGCGTGCAGAGGCTGCGGGGGAACCGAGATTCTACAGGACGTGGAAACAAGCAAGTTAAGGCGCCGAGGCACTGCCATCCGCAATCCAGGCGCCTCTCACCTTGGTGTATTAAAGCCAGTTATTGTACCGCTCCCTCTCTGATTCCCCAGCCACGGAGGCTTCCTGGGTCTGGACATAGAGAGCTCCCCGCTGGGCTCTGCCTCCCTCACTTGCCAGATGCCCAGGATCTCTAATCAGAGTCGGAAACTTGCAATTCAGAGCAAGGCTCGTCTTCACATAATAAAAATGATAATAAAAAAACAACTTCAAACCTCATTTGACAGCTTGTTGGCTTTCCGAGATTCAGGAGCAGACGGAATCTGCTTGCACAAATTCCGAGAGCCCCCTTCTTAACCTCATCAGCCAAAGGCCGGTTCCTCCCTCCACGCACCCCTCAAATTAAAGACGAAGAGGGACTGTGCGGGATGCGCGCGGTGACAGGTGATGCGGGGGGTGGGGGGGTGTGCCCAAGTCCCCACTGACCTCACCCACGCACTCCGCTTCAGTCCTGAGCTCCCCACGCCCCCCGGGGCTCGGCCAGGCCCCCACCCGAATTCCCAGGCCCCAGCACGATTGGCGTGCCCACCCCCACCCCGCAATCCTGCTTTGGCCACTTAAGGTGGCTGGCGGGTCCGGGCTGGAGTTGGGCGCCGAGGAGACAGCGGGGCGGCCTCCCCCGGCCCAAGCTGCTTGTCCTTTGTTGACAGCTGGCGGAGGAGGAGGTCCGGGGGTGGGGGTGGGGGCGGGGGGACGGGAACGGGGGCTGGCTGCAGGGGGCGGTGCCAGCGGCGGGCGCGGCCCCCGTCCGGGCGGGCGCGGCCGGCAGGGAGGGGGTTAAGGCGCGCGGCCTCTATGATAATGAGCCGCCTGGTAATATAGGGGGGCCGGCGCTCAGGGCCCCGCCGCCGCCGCCGCCGCCGCCGCCGCCGCGGGAGCCAAGCCGCCGGGCGCAGCGCCGTCCGCGCCAGACTGGAGCGGAGCGCGGCCGGACGCAGTTGCTGGGAATTTTTCAGCCGAGAGGGCAGGCGATCCAGACACAGGGACCCCGCGATCCAGACACAGGGACCCCGCGATCCAGACAGGGACCCCGCGATCCAGACCGAGACCCCGCGCAGGCTCGGGAGCCGTGGGGAGCCCGGGGGCCGCCGGAGCGAGCGGAGCCAACCTCGAAATAGATCCGGAGAGCCAGGTTCCCGGAGGAAATGGAACTGTGAACGAACCCGGGGAGCGAGAAGGGAAGGAAGCGCCGCGATTGCTGATGTCAGAGGAGCCCGGAAAGTCGGGCTGGAAAAAATCTGAAGACAGCCAGGGCTCTGCCGCTTCCCAAGGAGAGACCACCGCCAGCCACCACCGCCGCCGCCGCCGCCCCCCCCCCACCCCCCACGCCCCCTCAGCGCCTCTCGGTTCTCCCAGCGAGCCGGCCACCGAGCCCGGCGGGGCTGCCACCGGGCGGCGGAGGACGGAGGGGCTCGCGGGCCGGAGACCGAGGGGCCACTTCAGGAATACAGATAAGTGGCTGGTGGCTTGACGTGGATTTTAATGAATTTGGACTCCATGTGGATGCGATCGTCCGCGTGATCTCGAGCCGTGGGCAGCCGGAGGAGCAGGCAGCGCGCCGGCCTCGGTAGCCGGCGGCCGAAGCGGTCGGACCAGGGACGGAAGGACAGACCGACATCTCCGAGCTGGGTAAGCGGCGTCCAAGGCCGGGAGCTCGGAGTCCGCGGCGCCCGCCCGCCGCCCGGTCCTCCCGAAGCGCGCTCGCCCGGCGGCGGCTTCCCGGCGCCCCGCCTCCGCGGGGTCCAGCCCCGAGCGCCAGGGCTCGGCTGCAGCCGACGAGTCCCCGCACCGGGCCGGCCACTTTCCCGGGCCGGAGCGCGGCGCCCGCCAATGCGGGCGCGTGTGCGGGCATCTCTTGGTGCGGCCGCCTCCGGCCCCGGCTTCCCCGCCGGCGCCCCGCTTCCCCGCCGGGCTGCTGGCGGGCGGCGCTCCTCCGCGCGCCTCCACGGCGCACCTGCCGGCGAGCTGAGGCTAGGGGCAGCGCAGGGGTGGCGGGGCTGTCCCGAGAGCTGCAGCCCCAAGCGGGCCTTCCCGGGCACCGCAACCGAGGAAAGCCGGGGCCACGGTGGCCGCCGCCGCTCGACTGGGCCGGGGAGGGGTGGGGGGAGGGCGGCGTTCACTCTGGAGCCCAGAGACCCTGGAGGCCACTGGTGGTTCTTCCGAGCAGGGGATTCGGGAATCCTAGGCGCAGTTTCCGGAGGCTCAGGGAAGGAGTCCAAGGCACGGAATGGGACAAGTGCTCTGTGACCGCTTCTGTGCGCCCTGGCGGTGAAGCGCCCATCACCCACCCCCAGGTCTGAGCTGCAGGAGAGGGTTGGGGGCTGAAGGATGAGCTTCTTTCGGGTCTGAAGGCCCCTTATAAACCACTTTAGGATATTTCCTTTCTTAGGCTTCTTCTTGCCCCACCCCACAAGTGATGTAGGGATCTTGGAAAATTCTAGCCCTGTTTCTCCATCCCACAGGTAGTTTCTATACATACGTTCATCATGGTCTGGATGGTCAGAGAGAGTCATCCCGAAACTGCCATCCCAGGCCCCTGACGAATGTCCACCTGTTTGGCATGACTCTTGCTCTAGGAAAGAGCTACCTACTCCAACGCATCTGGGAGGGATGGAGTTGGAGGGAGTCAGCTGTGTCTAGAAATGAGAGCCCTATGAAGTGGGTAGTGGACATATCATCAGGTCTTCTGTAAGAATCTAAGATCCTAGGGCAACCATGGCATATCCTAGAAGCGGGCAGACACGAGACACAAGACAGGACCAGCTCAAGGCGGTGGCTTGGGGACCCAGCAGTTTGGAGGAACCTACGAGGTCTGGGAACCCACTCAGTGGACAGGGTCATGAGAGGCAGATGAAGATGAGTGTCTGGGCTGGGCAGGGCTGGACCTTCTGGGAGCTGGGAGTCAGGTTCAGCTCAGCCCCCATCCCCACCCCACACAATAGCAGGCTCTGGTCTTGCTGGGCTTCTCTCCCAGACCTTGAAACTTCACTGTTCCCTCTGGGCAGGCTTCTGGGGTCTTCCCCAGAGTGGCAGAGCCCAGGGAAGAGACAGCTCTGGCTGGAAGAATGCATCTATTCCCAGTTGAAATGCACAACTTTTGTGCAGTCACCCCAGAACACTCCAGGAGTTGCTAGCAGCTGTCTCTCCTGTGACCTCTTGGCAAGAAGAGAAGAATTCATTAACTTTTCCTTCACCCCATCTAGTACCTTTTGAAGTAATTACCTGGGCTCTCCCCTCCTTGGCCTGGGGGGAGGGGATCCAGAGGAAAGGTAGGGAAACTGAGAGCCATCTGCCAAGATGCCCTGGTGAGGTTTTGCTTTCCCCTTCTTCCACCTGGTGTCTCTGCTTCCACCCACCCTCCTCCTCCCAGAACCTGTCCTCACCGGCTGCCAGCATCATCTGAAAGAGCGGCTCCGCTCAGCCCTCCAGCCAACCCTCTTTGGGGACCGCTGAAAATGGCAGGGCAGGGTGGGCTGCCCTCTCTGCTCCCCCGCTGTCCTCAGCAAATCGTATTAGGATGGGGCAGATTGGCTTGCAGAGAGGTTAAATGGAAATGATGTGTAGAGTGCTGGGCAATGGAGACACAGCTGAGGAGCATCAAGGTGGGAAGTGATGGAGAGCGGGAAGGGCCCTTCCGCCCAGGGCTGTGAGTCTGGCAAGGGGATTCCACCTGGCCCTTCTCTTTGACAGGATGTAAGGACTAGGGTCACTCATAGCCTGGTGCTGGGCAGGGGGACTGGTTGGTCTTGCAGCCCTAGTCTAAATGAAGAGTAAATGGTGGTGTCCCATCACCCCCAAAGAAACCGATGGGATTACAAGGTTGGTGGCCCTGCTTTCAGAGCTGCCCTGAAGACCCACCCCTGTCCCCAAAGCACCAGGGAACATTCACCCCCTCCAGCCTCTAGACCATCAGAGCTGCAGGCGTGTCGGATGCAAAAGTTCTCCAGCTGTTGTAGTGGAGTCTGGGCTTAACATGAGGTTCCAGAAACACCCCTTGAAGAACAGTTACTTCTCTACCAGGCTCCTTGCCCACTTCCAGATCCTTCTGGAGATTCTGTTCATCTTTATTACATGGGCACGTTACAAGGAAACACACGAGCAGGAGGGGAGGCCAATGACACAGTTAAATATACAAGGCAGCAGCTGGCAGCAGCCTCAACTCGCCAGTTCAGGTGCCATGAAATATTTATGGTGCTGGAGTTGTCACTCTTGGGGGCTTTTCTAGTCTCTGTCCTGCCTCCTCTGCTATGGCTGCCTCTCCAAGCTCTGGGGTTTGGTGCAGGGGGAGGCGATTTCTGTCTCCAGGAGCGATATCCTCCACCCACCCCCCGCCCCAGCTGTCTCCCTGCATTGCCACACAGCTGTCTCCACACACGCAGACCGGGGCGGGTGGGGGTGGGGGGGCAGTATCATCTGTGTCCATCACAGCCGAGGGGAAGAGAGACGCCCCAAGCCAAGCCTCCAGCCCACCCCTGTTCTGATCATAAAGAGACCGGAGCATCGTGTTACTGGAGTCTATGAACCACAAATAAGTCAGGATGGTGAACAGGGAAACTGGCAGAAGCGGGCTTTGAGGTGCTATAGTTTCAGAGCCCATGGACACAGCCACCCCCCAGCACTGCCGCCCTCACCCAGGGCCAGTCTGTTATCAATTCATTCTAAGAGTATCTTTCTCCCCTTCGCAGATGCTGGGCTCCAACAATAATGAATGGAACTGATTCCCTTATGGGAAACAGTTTTTTTTTTTTTCCACTTAGTTACAAAGATTTCATGCCTGATTAGAGTAAATGAGGGGTGGTGGTGGGGTGTTCCCTTCTTGTCTGTTTCTAAAGGTGAGCCCTGTGGAGACAGAGAAAGGCGGTTCTTCCTGGGGATGGGGGGGGGGGTGAGGGGGTCAAACAGCTGGTCCCAAGGGCCAGGAGGGATGAAGGTAAGAGCTGGCACCCCCTTTCTCCCTGGGTGTAGCCCTCAGCCTCTCCAGGGCCCGTTTCCTGGCCTTTGGGGCAGAGGGAGCCTCTACTCTTCTATCTGGGGTTCAAGGGCAGAAATAGAGGCCAGAAGGTTCTTTGTTGGGGAGCCGGGTCCCCTACTGGGAAAGTGTAAATGGACAGGGAGGGGGAGATGGGGAGAGGGAAGCAAAGGCCCAAGTGGAGCGGCCCAGGGCCCCTGCTCCCACCGTGGGTCAAGCGTTGGCCCCTGCCCGGGGCCTGGCCCTGTCTCTTGCCGGCTGGGGGTGGTCCCCGTGCCTCCCCCCCCTCGCTGCCCTGTCTCCCCTCGGCCCCCAGCTCAGCCCGGGCCCCCACTGACCCTTTTCTCTGCCCCCTCCGCTGGCACCAGCATCCTCCCCCCAAGCCCTGCCAGCCGCCCCCTCCCTGGGGCTCTGCCAGCTGTTGGCCTGGCAGCAGCCTGCCCCACGGGGACGCTGGCGGGATGGTGGGGAGGGTGGACGGAGCGGGCACACTGGGTTCACACAGGCCTCCAAAACCAGAGCTCCCAGCTCAGGCCACAGACTGCTTCAGACCTGCACATCAGCCCCGTGGGGGTGCCGGGTTTGCTGGGGAGCGGGGGTGAGGCTGGGGTTCCCTCGCCTCCGGGAACGCCTGAGTTGGGTGAGGAGTCCCTGCCTTGGCCCTCGGAGACGGGCCATTTGCTCCAAGGCTTGGTCAAAGCATTTCCCTCTCCTCGGACCTGGAGCCCTGAATTGTAGGGCGGGGAGAGTGGAGAACCCAGAAGACCGACCAGAGATGCAGACCGAGATACAGGCGTGCGAGGTGCACGTGGTGAGACCCAACTCAAGGCGCAGGAGCAGTCGCAGACAGGCTGAGAGGGGCGGGGGACAGAGGACAGAGGTGAAGGCAGCCGGCCTGACAGTGAAAGGGGGGCCGGAGGGGCTGAGCGCACACTCTGGGGCGGCTGGTGGGAAGGGCGAGGGCAGAGCCGCCCTCGGGTCCTCCGGGGCCCTAAGGGGGCTGAACTGGGAAACCGAAGCTGCAGGCTCTCTCCACTAGAGGGGGCGCTTGAAAACCAGGCTGGGCCCTAAACAGTGGCTTTTGTAGAGGTTTTTTTGTTTGTTTTCTGATTTGTTTGTTTTGTTTTAAAAGAAGGAAAAATATGGTAAGATATATTAGAAACTCCCAGCTGTCGCTGCTCTGAGACCACAACGGGTGGGGTCCCGTTGCCGGTGGGACGTCTGGGCCCCGTCTGGTCGCTGGGGAGCAGGACGGGGTGCCTGCAGCATTAAGAGGGGGCCCAGGGTGGGGAAGCCGCTCCCGGAGGGGCCTGCCCGGCTGGCAGGATGTGTCTGGGGGCTGGGGGGTGGGCAGGCGTTCTCAAGCAGTCCTGGCTGCCAGCCTCCCCGCCACGGAGAGGCTCTAGCCTCTCTTTATCAGCGATACAAGTTTTTGGCCCGACCCCAAGGTGCCTTCACGGGCCTTCCTCTTCTCCCAGCCCCCTAAACAGTCTCAGGTGGTGGCGACGCTGCTCCCAAGGAGACTTTTTCAAAGAGACCTTTCAGGAACTGAACGCATGTCAGCGTTGTATCACTGATTTCATCTTTGTCTTCATACTCTCTGTGGGAGCCTTTCTCTGAATTATAATTCCCCGTTTCATTTCAGCAGAGGACAATATGGAGAGAGCAGGGTCCAGAGGCTTTTCTCATCTGAGCAGACAGTAACCGTCTGACAGGGGTGGGGGGAGATATTAAAAGTTTGGGGACAGCAGTGGGCCGGAAAGGAGCATCTCTTCAGATCTGATAGCATCCTCTGATATTTAATCTTGGCTCCCCTTTGGCTCACGTTTACCTGGGGTCAAAGAGGGAGGCGAGGGAGGAGAGAGCAAGGAAAAAAGAAAAACAAGATAAATGTATCATGTTATGAAAGTCTAATCCTGCTTTCCCTTGGCTAAAATTACTTTCGGTATGAGAGATAAAAGGCAGTGGGGTCGCCCTTGCAGAGTTCAGCTTGTCTTGGAGAGGGAAGTGGGGGAGAGCTCCCAGGCCCAGTGGATTATCCCCTCTGCTCTACCTGCCCCCCCCAAAAAAATATGTGTTCTCTCTGCAGCTTTGAGAGAGGGGGCGGAGGCCCTGACTAAGGCACCTTCACTTCTCCACGCTGTCTGGGGAGTTAAACTTTTTGTATTTTTTGCATTTACAAGCCTGCCTTCCCAACTTGGTTTCTTGTTTGCCTATGGAGGGATAGGGAGAGATCGCAGAAGGAGGTGTAGAACAGCTCAGCGAACTCCAAGTGTACTCTTCATGTGAGGATCGTTGCCCTCGTGCTGAACCAAGACAGAAAGACAAGGAGACCTGGAATCAGAGCCCACTTAGGTTTAATCGAGTAGAAGTTGGTCACTGAGTCAGTGCCAGGAATGTGTAACACTCAGTACCCAGACGAAAATATAACTGATCCTACCTTCAGGACGCTTACAGCCTCCTGGCGGGGGGAGGGAAAATGAACATCCCCTCCCAGAATTTCAATATAAAAGCAAAGGCAGAATGGAGTTAATGGTATGCTGGGGGACCAGAGTGAGTGGAGGTATAAAAGTTTCCCTTTTGCTCTTTTCAGTGGAATGTGCAGGTTTTCTGGGAGGGAGACTCCTATGCTGGAAAACCTCACAGTTAGGGACTGTCTCACCCTCTCCCGTTTCTCAGCCTCTCAGAGCTACCCCAGCCTTTTTTTTTTCCCCTCGTGCCCCTGCATGGATTTTAAACTGACACCACTGTAGTTGTTTTCTATTAGTCAACATCCTAGAGCAAGATCTCCGTGTAACACCCTCCCAAGGGCTTTGCACCGTGTATTCTATGTAAATTGCATCCCTTTCCGGTCTCCTGGAGCTGGCAGCTTGGACTCCACTGTGCTTCATCAGGAAATGTTGTTACTCATCTGTATTCACGTTGAAGTGTCCAGAATCCTGCTGTTAGCGCACACACTTTTATCTGAAGGAACCCATTAAAGGGAACCCAGAGAAAATATATTCGGATTTCCCCCCCTCATCTTGCCTGAGCAGGAAAGCCCCCTCCAAGAGCCATCTCTGCTTCTGCCTGCCTCCTGGAGAAGGACACTCCTTTACAGATTCTGTCCACAGAGCAGGCTGGGAGGATTAAGGGAGGGAGGTTACAAGCAGGCGGCTCTCACTTCAGCTTGAAAACTTTCTCTAGTCCCATAATGGAGGGCAGTGTTCCGCTTGTACCTTGACGCGTTCAGATCAGATTTGGGGTGCGCGGAGGCCCGGCTCTGGGCGGGGGGCAGAACCAGGGCACATGCTTGGACTTTAAGAGGCCTTTGAAACCTTTAAAAGTCTATGCTTTGAGAAATACGTGTCTGTGTGTGCATGTGAGTGCATATATTTCTGAAGAGAAGGAATCTGCGAGCCCCGCCCCCCCCATAAAGAACCGCTGAACG